CCGGAGCCACGCCCCCAGGCGGGGCCGCCTGCCCGGCCTCCGCTCAGCTCAGCGCAGGGCCCGTCCCACCGCCCAGCCCGCACTGACCTTCACCGTCCGGGGCAGCGCTCAGCTGGGCGCCACCCTGCTTTCTAATGAATCACTCTTTCATGGTCGCTCTGCCCATCACATCTGGGTCTTCAGGATATGTGGGACACCGAGCCCCAGCCCAGAGTCAGGGTGCTGACCCCGGAAGGGGACGAGGGCAGGTCCCAGCAGCCCGGCCCCTCCCAGCCTCCCATCGGGACGCTGACCTTTCTCCACGTGCTCTCCGAGATGTCAGGGCCTTCGTCCCAGGTGGAGACAGAGCCACACTGGCCCAGCCAGCCCTCTCACTCACTCATTCATTCACGCATTTCATTTTGGTGCTGGCACTGGGCTTGAACTCAGAGCCTGGACGCTGCCCCTTGGCTTTTTCACTCAAGGCTGCTGCTCTGCCCCGTGAGCCACAGCTCCGCTCCGGTCATTCCCGCGCAGCCGCCCTCCCACGCTGCGTCCCCCTCACTTTGGAGGCTGCCAGGGCCCCCACTCCCGCCCCTCCTGGGTCTCATTGTGCAGTGCTGGCTTTCTCCCTGCTCGGGAAGTTTGCCTTCCTGTGGGAAGGCAGTGGCCTTCCCTGTGGAGGTCCCTGGCATTGGGGTCCGCTTAAGGGGGCCGACGCCCGGGCTCTGCCCGGAGCAGCGACTTCCTGCTCCCTGGTGTGGATCTAGGCCTGGTGTTTCCCAGAGCCCCCAGGAAGTTCCAGAGCCGAGCCCCTGTACCTCACAGATGCCCCCCGGAACGCTCCCCGGCCTGCCCCCCTGCCAGCAGGGCTCCTTCCAGGTGCGGGTGGCACAAGCAGCTCAGCCCCCCCCCTTGGATGACCACACATGCAGGCGCGACCCCCTCTCGGCCACCTGCATAGCTCAGGCCCTCCCCTGTCCCCTGGGTGAGATGTCTGTGTACCCACCGGCTCCTCAGAGCCTCCCCAGTGGAGGTGTCCCCTGCTCCCCACTTCACTGCAGCCGAGAGCGCTGCCCGTGGAGCACAGACATCGCCACGACAAGCCCGGCACCCGAGGCTCACACCTGTAATTCCAGCTACTCTGGAAACTGAGATCTGAGGGTGGGGGTTCAAAGCCAGCCTGGGCAGCAAAGTCTGTGAGACTCCAGTCTCCAATTAACCTAGCAAAAAGCTCAGGGGCAACGCCTGGGCCCTGAGTTCCAGCCCCAGGACAGGCACCAAAAAGAAGCGCGCAATCGTGAAGCCTGGGTGGTTGCTGGGGTCCCGTTGCTGACACTCGTGCTGCTTTTATTCCAGAGGCCGTCTGCGCCAGCCCCTGCCGGCTACCAGCTGCCTGCGCTGTACAGGACAGAGGACTTCTTCCCCGGGGACCCCAGAGACCCCAGGCCTCCGGCGCCCTAGCAGCCCACGGCGGCCGCCTGTGCTCCTCCCCGCGCTCCTCCCACAGCACCGCACCGCACAGCGGCCCCCAGGACGCCTGCGCCCTCTCCCTTTTCCTGCTGTTGGTTGTGTTTGCTTTTCCTCCCCATGGGGTCTGGGGTGGGGTGGGCACCCAGGTGTGGCAGGCTCTGGGGTGGCGTGGGGTGGGGGGTAGGGGTGAGTGCACAGCCTGCAGACCCCAGTGCCCTGTCTCGTGAATCACCTCAATAAACGTGTCCAGAGCTCCTTGCGGCCAGCCTGTAAGAGCAATGGGGAGGGCGGCTTCCCTTTCTGCGCGTGCCCACCTGCTTCTTGGGCTGCATGGTCGGTGGTAGGCTGTGGCGTTGGAGGGAGCAGGCCTGGCCTTCCAACTAGCTGCAGCGGGAAGCCAGCGACTCGCTGTTCCCAGCTTCTGCACACAGCTTCTGGCTCATGCATCCCTCCAGAGTGCTCTGTGCAGCCTCCCCGTGGACTGGAGAGCACTTAGTCCCCCCCCACACCCCCGACTCTGCCCCCAGCCAAGAACCCCCCCTTTACTTCCCTATGCACACACACAACTGAACTGTAGGAAAGGAGAAGCCAGTGGCTCACAGCTGTAATTCTAGCTACTCAGGAGGTTGAGATCATAGGATTGCAGTTTGAGGTCAGCCTGGGCAGGAACGTCTGAGACTCTTATCTCCAGTGAACCAGCAAGAAGCTGGAAGTGGAGCTGTGGCTCAAGCAGTAGAGCGCTGGCCTTAAGTGAAAGCGCTAAGCCAGAGCAGGAGGCCTTCCTTGATTTGGAGCCCCAGCGCTGGCGCACACCATGCGCAGCACCCAGACTTCAAGGAAAGCTAAAATGATGAGTCTGGCAAGATAGCACTGAAAAAGCAGGAGATATTTTGGGAAACTTGGGGACTGGAAAATAGAGGTAGATCTGTGTTTCTGGGAGTCAGCATTTTTCTGTGGAAACCATTTTGGTCAATCTTAGAGGTGAAGTTCACATTACAGAAAGGGCCCTGCATGTGTCCCTGGATTTTCACAGACCACACACGTCTATGTAGCCTACCATGCTGTCCACACTCAGAGGCCCCCTCGGGCTCCAGCCGCAGGACGCCACCCGACTAGATGCGGGGCTTGCTGGCTGCAAGGGCTGCTGGGACTAAAGACAGCTATAGATCGTTGGTTCTGATGGCGGTGTTGTATTGATCAGGCCCGCGATTAACCAAAGATGCTTACACACCTACCACGCCCTGCTGCTCATGCACAGTTTAGACTTGCTGGGAAGTTTGTATTTAGAAAAGTAGAAGACAGGCTGGGAAGGTGGCTCAGTGGTAGAGTGCTAGCCTTGAGCTGAAGAGCTGAGGGACAGCACCCAGGCCCAGAGTTCAGGCCCCATGACCGAACCCCAAAAAAAAAAAAAAGTAGAAGACACCAATTTCCAGTAGGTCTGGTGTTTAATCGCTTCCGGCAGGGCCTGAACCAGAAGCGAGGACACTGTGGAAGGGAGTGTCATGTGATTAGTGTCCTAAAGGTTCAGGGCGTGGCCAGGAACAAGGTAGGTCTGAGGTGAGCTTGCTAGTACAGGTGTAGTCTACATTCCTCAGCTGTGTGACCTTCCCTTTGTTGCTTACCCTCTCTGTGTGGTTGGCCCAGGGCCTGCCAGGGCACTAGGTGACAAGAGGCTGGTGATGATGGCTGGGTCGCATGGGGAAGGCATGGCCCTGCGCTGTTTTATCAGGTGATGAGCGCATCCAAGGGCTTCAGCAGCAAGTGGCTTGGGGACTGCCCCTAAATGTCCCAGAACGAGTCACAGTGAGTTGCTAAAAGCCTTCCCTTGGGTTCTCTGAGGGGCTGACTCTTCCCCCAGCAAGCAGGGGGAGGGGCCACCAGTGACCGGATGTCGATTGGGCTTTCCTGGGAGTTGCAGTGGCAAATGACCTTTTTTGGTGTGTGTGTGTGTGTAGTAGGGCTTGAACTCAGGGCCTGAATGCTGTCCCTGAGCTTTTGTGCTCAACCCCAGCACTCTGTCACTTGAGCCCCAGCTCTCCTTCTGGCTTTTTGGTGGTTAAGTGACAAAGAGACTTTCCTGCCTGGCCTGGCTTTGAACTGTGCGAGCCTCAGCACTCAGGCTCCTGAGCAGCTAGGATTACAGCTACAACCACCTGTGCTCAGCTAAAAGACTTTGGAAACAGGAGTCCCCTGGGGGGAGGGGCGGCAGGGTCCCCACCCTGTGTCACCCGCGGTACACTGCATGTCCTGCTCTACAGGGCAGCCTGCCTTGTCCCTGCCAGCCAGGGGAGTCCCCGGCTGCCCCTCCCCCCGGGCAAGGGTCGCTGCGGTGTGGGGGAGGTGCCTGGCCTTGTGGCCACTGCTGGTCAGGGACATCGGGAGAAAGGTCACTGCAGATGCTCACAGTTCCCAGCCCCGGGGTCGCAGCTTCTCCTCCCTGTGGACTGGGCTTGGCCGGAGGCTGTTTGATAGTGTTTTATGTTGAGACACCTGGGGAATAAAACAGGACTTCCACGCCTCGCTCTGCTCACCTGGCCGAGTTCCAGGCCCAAAATGGATCTGGGAGGCAAGCGTGTGAAATGGAGGAAGCAGGCGAGCGCACGGGCGGGGCGCGAGCGTGAGGCCCGAGGCCGTGAAGAGACATCGAGTTACACAGAATCACGAAAATCTCCATGCGGCAGAAAACGACCCCCCAAGGCCCCCCAAGCCCACACCAAACAGAATGATAAGCAAATTCAAGACGGATGGCAAACCGGGCAATTTCACAATTCCTGTTACAAAGGGATAACCTCTTCACATGTCAGCAGTACCTACAAGTTTAAAAAAAAAAAAAAAAACCGGGCGCCGGTGGCTCACGCCTGTAATCCTAGCTACTCAGGAGGCTGAGATCTGAGAATCACGGTTCAAAGCCAGCCCGGGCAGGAAAGTCTGTGAGACTCTTATCTCCAATAAATCACTAGAAAACCAGAAGTGGCGCTGTGGCTCAAGCGGTAGAGCACTTGCCTTGAGCTGAAGAGCGCAGGACAGTGCCCAAGCCCCAAGTTCAAGCCCCACAACCAACCAAAAAGGAAAAGAAAAGAAAACCAAACGAGGGGCTGGGAAGGTGGCTCAGGGGTAGAGCGCTTGTCTTGCATGCCTGAGGCCCTGGGTTCGATTCCTTAGCACCACATACACAGAAAAAGCTGGAAGTGGCGCTGTGGCTCAAGTGGTAGACCCTTGAGCTAAAGAGCTGAGGGACAGAGCCCAAGCCAAGAGTAAGTAGTGGAAACTAAGTAGTGGAAATGCCTTAGATTCTTCACCTGTCAGGCTGAGAAGGTTAACTTTGATGACACTTGGTGACATTTTGGGCAAAAGTATTCCCATGGGTCAATGGTGTGTGTGCCCTCAGCCCAGTAATTGCACCTCTAGGAATTCAGCTTCCAAGTGTAAGACCGAAATACACAAGTGTGAGCTAATAAGAAAAAATGCTAAACAACAACAGCAACAAACCCCAGCAATGTGCAAGGCAAGGTTATTTGCTGCACTTGGAAAAAGCAGAAGAGTGGTGGAAGAGGAGGCTCCCATCCCATGGGACTCCTGTGGTGTGGCGAGTGGATGAGAACTCTTTGAGTTGGCACAGGAACATTGCCAAGAGACAAAAACCAAGCAGAGAAAGGCACACACAGCATCACCCAGATGTGTCTGCATGAAAACAAAAGCAACCCCTCCCCCAGGGTGGGCACACTGCTCCACCGCGGGGGCCAGCGCTGACATGTGTCCTTCCCACCGCCCTTACCATGTTTCTTTTTGACATTTGGTGTTTAACTACTCAATACATGCATTTAAAATCAGTTACCAGGGCTGGGAATGTGGCTCAGTGGTCGAGTGCTTGCCTAGCATGCATGAAGCCCTGGGTTCGATTCCTCTACCACATAAATAGAAAAGGCCAGAAGTGGCACTGTATCTCAAGTGATAGAGCGCTAGCCTTGAGCAAAAGAAGCTCGGGGACAGTGCCCAGTCCCTGAGCTCAAGCTCCAGGACTGGCAAATAAAATAAAATCAGTTACCAGCCACTAAAACTTAGGAGAGACCCCAATACCCAGTGCCCACAGCCCTGGGCTCCGTGGCGCCAGGCTGAAGCCTGGCAAAGGCAGCAGAGCCAACGGTCAAGTGGGCAGCTCGATTTGTGGCCATGCCACTCCACTCTCATCCTCCACATGGACCTTTAGAACTCAGGCCCCGGCCTGTGGGGGAATTATTGCAAGGATATGCAACGAGACCTATCACCATGGAAAGGATGGCCGCTGTGTCTATCACCATGGAAAGGATGGCCGCTGTGTCTATCCCCATGGAAAGGATGGCCGCTGTGTCTATCACCATGGAAAGGATGGCCGCTGTGTCTATCACCATGGGAAGGATGGCTGCTGTGTGCTCCCTGTGGCGCCAGCAAGATTCCACACTCCTTTGGGGACAGGAGTGGGCCTAGTTTAGCCATATGTTGTAGCAAAGATCTTGTTTGGGGGTAACTGATGTCAAGGCAGATATGCCTTCTCCTGCAAAGCCAATGAAAAACCAGCAAACTGAGCAGTGTAGGAAAAGGGTGACATGCCACGGCCAAACAGATTTTCCTAGGCATGCAAGGTTGGTTTAACCTCTGGAAACAAAGCCAGTGTCACATACCCTAATAAAGGAGAAAAGCCACATGGTAATCTCGGTGGAAAGAGAGAAGTGGACAAACTCCAGCAACCACTCAAACATGTCCTGGGGTGAGAGGGGAGCTCAGGGAGGGTTGGCAGTATGGCAGACACCCCTCACGCCAGTGCCTGCCTATGGGATTCCTCTGCTCTCTGTACAGTTTCAGGCCTAGGCAGCTGCCAGCATTGAGCAATCTCTTAAGGCAGAACTCCCTCATCATGGTCAGGTGTACAAGCAGCCTGGGTTAGGAGAGCTCAGTGCCGCCTGATTGGAGGTGGTTGACACACAGCTTCCTGGCAAGGCCCAGGGGCTCGATGTGGACTTAAAAGCATCGAGACTGCCAGGAAACTATTAGCAGATAGGTTTCAGGCCTATAAGCAGCTAGGTGGGTGGAGGCTTTCCTGAACATCTAGCAGGGTGTGCCTGGTGGCTCTAGGTGGAGTTATAGGGAGTTAGGGAGTCTGTCAGGGGATGCACACTTGGTGAGGACAAGCACAGGTTTTCCCAACTGACTAAACAAACCAGTGGAGGCTGCCTGCAGGAGGCCACCTCTTCCATTGGAGGGCCTTCTTGGGCCCTGCAGGGAGATGCTCCCTGGCAGATGGTACAGACCTGGGGTGCAGGAAGAGCCAGGCTTCCGCGGACAAGCCCCCAAGGACCCAAGAGGAGACTGGGGTAGCAATGGCTATTAAAAAGTGATGTACAGGGGAGGGAGCTAGTTACACAAATCAGGTAACGAGTATATTTCTTTTGGGGCAATGTCACCCTTTCCCTTTTCCCGTCTCCACGCAGTTGTGTAGTTCATTTTCAAGTGTCTAGTGAGTATCACTGCTGCATTGGTTCACCCTTTGACACTCCATTTTTTGCACACCTAACTTCATCTATGCTGGAGTGCAGGACCAGTGAGGCCCATCAGGCTGCAGGTTTGGGTGGAGCTGGTTCCATGCTAGCACCTCAGGTTCAGAGCATTCTTGGTGCTGCTTAGGGTGGTTGATGGAAAGCAACCCACAGACACCAAGGTACCTGCCTATGGAAGTGAGTGGACCCCTGGCCCCGTAGGCACAGGCATATTTGGCTTTCTAGGTGTTAGAGGCTTGCTGGGTAAAGCAAGTTGTGTGGCCACTGCCAAAGGAAGCCAGTAACTGGGAAAACAAGTTCTGCAGATAAGGTGCCGCTGTCTTCTGACCTCCCAGGGTCAAGGAGAAAAGCTGCAGCCGGACCGGGCTAGTGTGCTCTGGCCTAGGCTCCCGTTAGGGAATGGAGCAATGGATAGCAACAATGTAGTTTTGTCTTGTGCTTATTTTTATGGATACATTTATTAATAGCAAAGTCTTCTTGTTAGCAACATGATCCCCTTTATAGGAACTTGAACTCTGGGACTCTGGGCTCTCTTGATTGCTTGCTTGCTTCCTCAGCTGGCACTCTACTGCTCAAGTCACATCTCTAGTCCTGCTTTCTGCCAGTTACTTTGGAGATGGGAGTCTCAGAGACACTGCTGTCCTGACTGGTCTTGAACTGTTATCTTCAGATTCCAGACTCCTGAGCAGCTAGGATTACAGGCGTGAGTCACTGACACTGCTTGTTTTCCTCGATTTAAAAGGAGAGTTAAGGTAGACCCAGGGCTGTGGCTCAGCGGTAGAGCATTTGGATAGCATGCCTTTCCTCCTGCGCACTTCAGGGTGGGAGAGGCTGGATGCGCTGGGGAGCAGCAGCTGTGGGCTGGGACATGCCAGGTCTACGTGGCAGCATCACCTTTGCCAGTGGAGATCTCAGGAAGAGTTGGTTTCTCTGAGCCTTTGGGGCAGCGCTATCCCCTTTTCTGAGGTCTCAAGCCATTAGGATTCCAGGCTAGCCCCTGTGGTGATCTCAATATACCAGGAGAGTCTGGCTGGCATGTGCTCCATGAAGGAGCAAAAAGGGTGGAGTCAAGCCCACGGCCCAGGCCCTCAGGACAGGGCCATGCGTCTCTAGGGCTGGGTGAGCAGCAGCAAGCAGATCTGACAGCAACCACCTCTCATCCCTCCTTCCAGTTGTCCAGGCACACGGCTGCCAGCCTGCTCCAGTTGGTGACAGCTAGTACACGGAGGCGTTTTCATTTCCAGCTGCTTTATCAGTTTGCAGTCTGCTCCCAGGATAGTCGTTTTCCTCCTTTACACAACACAAACCACTTAAGGTTGAAGTTGCCCTATGCCTCCAGGGCAGATGGTGACTCTGTGTGTGTGTGTGTGTGAGAGAGATCCTCAGACTTCAGGCTCCGCAGTGCGGGCATCGTAGGGATGCCACCACACCCAGCTACTTGCTCTTTTCATCCAGTCCCACCCTGTGCAAGTTGGAAGCTTAACTTCTAATACTGCTGTGAGGCTCACAGAAGTGAAGAAGCCTTATGGCTTTCAAGCTCCATCCACATGGTCGCTGGGGACATGCCGGTGCGGCGCCTCAGTGGTGGTGCAGACTCTTCTTATTCTGCCTCTTGGGATTGTTGACTGCCCACAGTGACACTCAGCCACCGCAGCGGTGCCAGCCCAGCCCTGCAACAGGGGTCAGAAGTGAGGACCATGCTGGGAAGCGAAGACATGCTGTGTAGATGCGTACTCCGTTTCTTACTCAGGAAAGGGGTCTGGAAGGTCGGTGGCATGATGGCCTGGAGACTGACTTCTGGCCCCTGCTCTGGGGCCAGTGCTGCATGGCTCACGTGGCAGGGAGCAGGTCCACACACCTCTGGGCCGTTTCAGATGGCATCTCTCATCTCATGCACGTGGCTCACGTCCAGGATGGGCATTTTACAGAGCAGACTGGGCCTTAGCACAAGTGGAGGCCCCTCTGTCCCTCAAGAGGGGACAAAGCCTTTCTGAAGACAGGCTTCCTTGTCCTTCTAATGGCAAGAAACCGAGGTGGGAACAAAGTGCTTGAGCCTGGGCCAGGGGAGAAAGCACAGCCCCAGACACCCGGCCCCGAGGCCCATGGCCACAACCAAGTCTGAAGGGGAAAAAAAGCGAAAGTGCTTTGGCCGAGATCAAGGTTTTACATATCCTCAAGAACTGTTCAGCAGCTACCGGTGGCGGAGTACCCTGGCTTTTAAACGAAATGACCTCCCCCTTATTCCAAAAGCAAGCAGCATTAATGGTCCCCATCCCTTCCCTCCCCCCAGCTTTGCCAACTCCTGGGGTTTGAACTCAGGGCCTGCATGCCTGTCCCTGAGATTTTTGCTCAAGGCTGGCTAGCTCTCTACCACTTGAGTCACAGCTCTACTTCCGTTACTTCATCTTTTTTTTTTCTCTTGCACAACTGGCCATTGAGTCTCAAGGTCTTGCTTTCCCAGGCTGGCTTTGAACTTATGGCCCTCAGATCTCAGCCTCCTGAGCAGGTGTGGCAACAGGGGTGAGCCACCAGCACCTGGCAATAACACTTTTTTTTATAAAGGCCTATTGAGGTGCACAGCGTTTCTGCAAGCCATTTCGTTTGACCCTTGCCTAAGCTCCCCCGCCCCCATCCAGCGAGCCCGAGGCCGCAGCCATCTGCACAGCCGCATCAGCTCAGACAAGGCCCTGTACTCCGCGAGGCTCTTCCACTTGCCCCAGGCAGACTAATTTCTGTAAATGTGACATGGCTTACATTCGGCGGGGCTTTACTTGGTAACAGGTAGTATCCTAATTTGGGGACATCTTGCCATTGGTGTTAGCATGGGAACACCTAATTTATATTGTTTCTGCCAAAACATTTCGAAGCAATCCGTACCAGCCCCTTACCCTCGAATGCCGAGTTTATACAACCACATGGTCTCCCTGTACGGTTCTAGAAAGCCAGGTATTTTAGGGAGCCTCAGGTAGCAAGTCTTGTTTTTGGAAAGGGTCAGAGAACATGGTCACTTCAGCCTTCTGTAAGCCAACGTACTGAGAGCTGACAGACACGTGACAGAAAGCTCACCAAATGCTGCCTAATTCCGATTCCTCGTACCCTCCTCTCCTCAGCAGAACTGCTCCGGAAATCTATGCATAGCAAACATGGCCCGAGGTGCGCTCGCCAAGCCTCCGTCTTTACAAGAGACCACACGCTTAAAGAAGGCAGAGCAGCGGCCGTCACACTTTGATCCCATAATAAAGTGAAAATGAATGCCCAAGTGATTCAGAACAAAGACTCTCAGACTGCTGGTGAACGTAATGTCAAATTATGTTCACGTTCTTTTATCACTCAGACCTTTAGCTCCTTAACAAAGGAAGCTGAAAAACTCAAGGGTGTTTATTTTTGCAGTTAACCCAAAGCAAAACACAAAAACAAAGCATTTGTAACAGGTGCCTTGAGAGAAAGCATCCTCTATGCAAATACCAGATGCAGGTTCCCACACATTTCCAGGGTGACTGGCTGCCATTTCCACCAGAAGGGAAGCATGTGGTGGCATCAAACAGCCCGGGACACACTGGACACGGGAGACCATTGTGTGTAATAAAGCGAGTATTTACATTAAGCACAATACAACAATTTATTTAATAGATGCTTAAAATGAATACAAAGGGAAATAAAGACCACAAAATTATACATACTACAACAGTGTGTCATATATTAGATGGTATAAATGAAAACACCAAGATGGTGTTCAACTAAAGAAAAAACTAAATATCCAAAACGCAGCACAACTGTGCTTGCTGCTTTAACACATCACACTTTTATACAGACCTAAAAGGTGTCAAAATTAGTAGCTGCAAAGTCAGTTCTTGTGTGTGATATTTTTTTTAACCTTAAAAGATTTCAGAACCATATCTGAAATAGTTTTTTTTTTGACAGCTGTAATGTCAAGGATACTCAGAACAAGAAAAATTCTATAATACAAGAGAGTCCAGATATATATCTTATGTGGTTGGCCTCTGTTCCAAGATTGTACAAGATTATGTGCAAAAACTAAGCCTGTCCAAAGGTCCATACTAGCGCAGGTCCAAGCTTTTGCTAAGTAAGCTAGATACAGCGTTTATTACACAGCAAGGGCAACTCTTTAAAAAAAAAAAAAGAAAAAGAAACAAATCTAGATGGAGCACACAATAACAATTATCATAAGCATCACTTGAATAGGTCTAAAAGACTGTACAAATATACATTTTTAGCTATCCAGAATGAATACGTGAAAAAAAAAAGGTTGATTTCCCAGAGTCTACTATACACATTAGACTGGTAGCTTGAACGCTGGCCTGCATGCCCGCCACGTGAGCCGGACACCGCCTCTCAAGGCAATCCAACCACACGCTGACAGTGGGAAGTGGTGTTGCAAGGCAGATAAAGCAAGCCTTTGCTTTCCCCATGTGCGTTCTGAGCCACCAGCTTTCTGGCTTGTCACATTTAGTTACCGTGCCTACCGGAGAAAGGTCTGAAGCAAGATCAGCCAATCAGTCGTGCGCCATAGACTGAGAAATAGCCACATGTCCCCCACAGCCTGCTGCCAGTCTCCACAGGTGGCACCAGTCGGAAGCCAGCTCTGTGGCCAGGTGGGCAAAGAACAGTCTACGAGTCCTTGGGTGGAGGGGCGAGGCGCTCAGGCCTGCTGGCTGCTCAGTTTCACTCCCGCCAGGCTGCCATGCATGGGCTCGGCTACCCCGTCAGTCACGCCGTCAAACTGCTCCCCCTCCTCACTGTCAATGGCGCTGTTCTGCCACTCCATCTGGGGGCTAGATAAGCGCTCAGCGCTCTCCGACGCACTCTTCCACTGTGACTGGTCCTTGGACCAAAACCCTTCCACTTTTCCATAGGAACTATTCTTCCACTTCAACTGCTCCCCGTCAGCTGGCACAGCAGCCTTTCTTTGGGCAGCTGGCTTGCTGCTCCTGGCGTCTTCGCTCTGGGAAGACTCATCTGACCAAGTTCCTGGCTTCATTTCACACGCGTTATCCTCAGAGTCTGACACCTGCTGGGAGCCAGGGCCGCTCTCGGCTGGGGAAGGCCCGTCCTTCCACTCCGCCACGTCGTCGTCCTGCTCGTCCTCGCTGTCGGAGGCAGGCTCCTCAGTCAAATGAATGGTTTCGTGTTTTGGACTCTCCTCCTCTTTTTGGCCTGGCTCCTCCTCAGATTCTAAGGCCTCGGCTGGAGTTACCTTCGGCACGTGTTCCTCCGGATCATCATTAGGAATTTTGGGCTCAACTTCGAAAACAGGCTCGAAAGGGCTACCACTTGCGTTGGAATCTTCTTCTAAATTTTCAAAGCTATCTGAGGAACTGTCCTCTTCCTTCCCAAGGCTTAGCTTCTTGTCAACTGTCTTACTCACGTTGACTCTGGAGTCCTTCTCGTCATGATTCTCAAACAGCCACTCAGCATCGAAATCCATCTCGTGTTTAACTTTGTTCAGTTCTTTCATGTTGAAGCCCAGGAGCACTCCGGGCTTGTACTTTTCACAATCGCGAACACACTTCTTCCTTTTGTTACTGAAATGGGAAGCGATGTCACTCTTCCACAGCCATAAACTGGCAGCTAGCTTCTCAATTTCTCTCCTGGTGGGGTAGGGCTGTTTGTTGAAATACTTTGTTAGAAAGCTTTTCCTGGCTTCGTACGAATCATCCTCATGACCCTTGGGGTCTAAAGCTAAAACAACAGGCTCTTCGGGCTTCTCCTCAAAGAAGCCAGGGGCATCGCTGTCATCATCCAGCTTCCGCTTCTTCAGCAAGGGAAACTCCACTGGCTCATAGGCGCGCTTCACCGGGGCCAGACCTGGAGACTGATTGAGCCTCGAGGGCGCGTTCGTCTTGTCCTGGCCGTTCTGGGTCTTCCCCACTCCCCGGCAGTGCACCAGATGCAGAGTGATGGTGGAGGCGGTCATGTTGCTGGTGTACACGCCCAGACAATGGATGCATTTGTAGGTGAGCTTTTTCTCCACCGGGTGCACTGTCTGGATGACCTGGTGGCGCTCCCGTAAGTGATGGGCAAGGGCGTCGGATATGGGTCCTTTGAGGATTGAAAAGCAAAGAGGACAAAGTGTTTTCCCGACATCCTTTTTGTAGGGCACTGCAGCTTGAGGGGAGCTCTTCACGGGGACATCGGCCTTCTCCTGCACTTTGGGCTGCGGCTTCGGAGGAGCGGGAGGGTTGTTCTGGGCATGGTAGGCCACGGACTCGGCGGGGGCGTCCCTCAGGTTGTACGTGGTGACCAGGAGGTGGATGTTCGTGTGACTGCCCTGCTGCAACGTCAAGTCGAAACTCAAAGTGGAATCCGTCTTGGGGCCCATCTCTTCGTCCACATGAACCATCCGCATGTGAGCAGCCATTTTCTCCACGTCATTGAACGTTGAACGGCAGTATGGACAGGACAGACCATGAATTAACATATGATTGAGCAAGGTATCTGTGGGCAAATAGCGATTACAGTAGAGGCATTTGCTAGTGAAATTGTGTATTTTCATAATGTAGTTGGCTACCGCTGGGACTTTCTCGGCTTTATGTTCTTTTTCGAAGTGCACACTATATACATTTTCAGGAAAAAGCTCATTACAGATTGTGCAGATCTTCCACTTCTGGGTTGCGGAGGTGTTGGGTGGGGAAGGGCCGGTGGCCGCGGCGGTTGGTTTGGAACTGGACTGACTGAGTACTCTAGATGCCTGTGCCTGGGAGAGGGACGGAGACTTCAGCTGACCGGATGAGAGCGCGGCAGCACTGGCAGACTGTAGGGAGTACCTGGCTGGAGCCTGGGACCTCTGCTCCGCCCCAAGCCCATAAGACCTTCCGTTTCCACTCGGAAGCAGCTGCTTCACAGACTGAGACTGCTGGGGGATGGAAACAGGAGCATTACCGCCCAGGCCCAGCCTCATGGACTGACCAACGCCATAGCTCTGGCCCACAGCCTTGACTCCAAAGCTGTTCTGCTGCAGGTGCACACCGGACATCACACCAACCCCTGTGGAATTTAGGTTAGGCTTTGGTATTGACAGTCTACTGACCATCTGTGAGGGTAAAGACCGGACGTTTCCAGAAGCAAGGGAAGCGATTCTTGTAGGGAGCCCCACACCCTTCTTCTCTTGGGGCTTGGGGGCAATCAGCATCAAGGGCTTGGACCGGGGAACCACCACGTTTGTGTGCCCAATCATGGCAGTGACCTGATAGCCTATGCGTTCGTGGTCTTCAATGACATGCTGCACCAAAGCCTCATAGGACTTTGGCATAAAAAGGCATCGTTTGCAGTGAATACTACACTCTTCCCGGGCACCTGCACCCAAGGGGACTGCACCATTGAGTGACTTCTCGCTGGCCTTTGCTATGTAGGGTGCTGCCACATGCTGAAAATGTTCCCTGTAAATGTGCTTCCTAACGATTTCGTAAAGAGGGTCTCGGTAAGTGCACTTCTTACAGTAATAAACAGCCTGCTCTACACTGTCAGCCTGCTTAGGTTTAAGGCCATCATTTTTGTTTTTATCTTTGAAAGTGCTGAGGCTGCTGCTACTTGGTGCGCTGGCATTTGGAGCATGAAATATTTTAATGTGTGTTTCCAAAGTCTTTTTGTCGGCATTGAAGGTACAATAGGGGCAATTAAGGAGAATCCGATTTTCAAAGTCTTCGCTGTGGACATTCCGGAAATGACTTTTGTAGGCAGAGAAGAATTTTGAGGAAAATGGACAAGCACTGCAGCAAAAAGGTTTTGTCCGATAGTCCTAGAGAGATAAGCAGAACAAGCATCAGACATGAGAACGCCGCTTCAGGTAAGCCGCATAGGCTCGCTGGCTCCCCAGAATCCCAGGATCCGGTTCTAGAAGGGACTGTAATAATGCACAGATTTCAGTATGAGTTCTCCTCGAGCAGAACTTATGAGAAGGTACTTTTATGTCCCCTGATAGAAGTGAAAGACAACATTTTAAGTTCTTCCTCGGGATTTAGAAAGGACCGGTCCTACATATCGACTTGTTTCAGGCAAGTCAAAGGCAAATGGCTTCAAGATAAACACTGACAGAAACAACCCTATGCTAACATGAACTTATCACCACTTTTGATCAAAGGCTCAGATTTACAATATAGTCAAGAGGCCTAGATGGTTTCAGTGTAGTTAGGCAACTGTAAAGAATAAACATGTACATTTTATCCTTTCTATCATGGAAAATTTTTCATAGAAAAAGGCAAATTTCAAAAAGTTTCTTCTCTAACCCAAAGTATAGTTTAGCACTCGGGCTTTTCTGTGGACCAGAAAGCTAATTGGGGATGTCAGCTTCCTCTTATAAAAGACAGCAGCCTCACAAGGTTGATGAAATTACAGCTACTGCTGGGTTTTTTTTTGGCCTATTCTGGGGCTTGAACTCAGGGCCTGGGCACTGTCCCTGAGCTTCTTTTGCTCAAGGCTAGTACTCTACCACTTGAGTGACAGCACCATTTCCAGCCCTTTCTGCTTATGTGGTACTGAGGAATTGAACCCAGGTTAGGTAAGTACTCTACCACTAAGCCACATTCCCAGCCCAAATGACAGCTTCTTTAACTCAAATGGAGAATTTAAATGAAACTATCCTACAGACTGAGGGGGATATGGTGTTTAAAAGACAATAATGTGATGCAAAATATAGTGACACCAAAGAACTTTCAGAATTACTGGAGTTGATCCCCTTAGATGAAGACAAGTGAACATATGTTAGGTGAGACATTATCTTTTCTCCCTAGAAACTGGCTCCCCTTCAGATACTGGTTGGAACCCAAATGAAAGTCTCTTCCTCAAAGCTCAACCCTGTTGCTAAGCGCTAAGGACTCATAGAAAGGGTGGAAAGCTGTCCTACTCTAAGATTGCTGGTTCATATTTTTTCCTAGAGGGTTAGTAAAAATTCCCTCAAATGTCTTTGAATTGAAAGTACAGATTGTTAGCTAAGTATGTTAGAATTGGAACAGATAATCATTTCTCTTTATGAAGAAATATCATTTATACTTTTATTTTCATTGTATCTTCATCTATTGAAAACTGTTGGTGCTGCAGATTAATGTTTTGAACATAATTTGTAACCCTCCCATAGAGATAGTGCTATCAATACAGAGCAGGAAAGTTTAGCTTTTTTCTTTCTAGAAACACAAGGCTGGCAACACAGACATAGGACAGTGATGCCTAACTGGAGAAACAGAATGTTGGAGAGTCAAAGCACCTATGGAAGGAATACTGGTGGATCATAAGCCTCAGAACTTGGAAGGAATAAAATTCCCCTTGATTCTTTTTTTTTTGGTCGGTCGTGGGCCTTCAACTCTGAGCCTGAGCACTGTCCCACAGCTCTTCAGCTCAAGGCCAGCACTCTACCACTTGAGCTACGTTGCCACTTCTGGTTTTCTGGTGGTTTATTGGAGATAAGAGTTTCACGGACTTTCCTGCCCGGGTTGGCTTTGAACCTCGATCCTCGGATCTCAACCTCCTGAGTAGCTAACAGGCATGAGCCACCAGTGCCCCGCTCCCTTGATTTTTTTTTTTTTTTGGGTCAGGTCGTGAGGCCTGAACTCTGAGCCTGGGTGCTGTCCCTCATCTCTTCAGCTCAAGGCTAGTACTCTACCACTTGAGCCACAGCGCCACTTCCGGCTTTTTTTTTTTTGCTTATGTGGTGCTGAGGAATGGAACCCAGGGCCTCGTGCATGCAAGGCAAGCGCTCTACCACTGAGCCACCTTCCCAGCCCCTCCCTTTGATTTTTATAAGCAATTTCAATCTCATGAGAAAAACAGCAAAAAGTTGTTTTCCCTACTACTTAACATCACTCACTCACTCACGCATGCACGCACGCACGCACGCAGTATAGACCTTCCAAAATTCAATAACTGTTTTAGTATGAAAGGGTATAGCAGAAAATGTGCACCAAGGCTATTGTCTGTCACTGTGAGATATCCCTGTGTGTGTACTTACCTGGTTTTTTGTAAGCGAAGGGTCCCATAGTCCTACATCCTCCCATGTAGTGTTTTTCAAATAAAAGTCATTAGGTTCAAACTGTTTAAAATCCTAGAAAACAGTGAAAAAAGTTTACAATGGTATTAACTCTATGATATCAAGTCTACATCTAAACTAGAGGCAGGGAAAGGCACAATAAAACCAACTCTACCAATAACTAAACTAGGACTGTTAAAAAGTCAAGGGCCAGTTGTCTGAGAAACTGGAAGTTGTAATTAGGCATAAAAATGTAGTCACAGGGCTGGGAAGGTGGCTCAGTGGTAGAGTGCTTGCCTAGCATGCATGAAGCCCTGGGTTTGATTCCTCAGTACCACATACACTGAAAAAGCTGGAAGTGGTGCTGTGGCTCAAGTGGTAGAGCGCTAGTCTTGAGCCAAACAAACTCAGGGACAGTGCCTAGGCCCTGAGGTCAAGCCCCAGGACTGGTTAAAAAAAAAAAAAGCAGCAGTGGCACATGAATACATTGGGCAGCAGTACCAGTTACAGTGGTGGGTATTCCGGCAACAGTCACTGCAGGTGTGACACTGAAGAAAAATGAACAATGAGGAGACTCTTGGAGACTGAGTCAGGAAGGAAACTCTGATCCTAGCCACCTGGGAAGCTGAGAGCTGAGGACCGTGGTTTGAAGCTGGCGCTGGCAGACAGCAGTGCAGGGACAGCATTCAAGCCCCAGGACCAGCATAAAAGAAAAATTGTTGGTGTATTGGATCTCATACTTGCTAGGCAGGTGTTCTACTACCTGAGCCACACCTCTAGCTACTTTTGCATATTTTTGTGTCAATACTGGGACTTGAACTCAAAGTCCAGCCTTTTCACTCAAGGCTAGCCTTCTACCACTTGAGCCTCACCTCCACTTCCAGCTTTTTTGGTGACTCATTACGGATAAGAATCTTACAGACTTTCTTGCTACAGCTGGCCTTTAACCCCAATTTCTCAGCCTCCTGAGTAGCTAGTTAGGACTACAGGTGTGAACTACCAGTGCCCAGTGGCACGGCTATTTGTGAGGTAGAGTCACTTTATCTATTAGCTGGCCTGGGCTGTGATTCTCCTACTTCTGCTGCCCTGTACTGCTGGAGACTACAAGCATGCGCCACTGAGCTCATCATGCCCAGGATGACCTTGAACTGTGACCTCCTGATCTATGCCTCCTAAGTAGTTAGGATTATAGGCTTAACCCATGGAGCTCAGCTGAAATTTAAGATTTTTAAAATAAAAAAAGGAAAGATAGCTTTACTTTCAAAGAAAGTAAGCATATGATGTTAAATTCATACAAGTGAAAATTTAAATGCCACCCTCCACCATAGACAAGAAAGGTAAAATCTAGGGTGAAGTTCCCTTGCTCTGAAATGGCTCATAGTTCTGGGTGGAAAATCAAGTATAAGCAAATTCCAGAGTTATCAAATGTGTGCAATAATGGGAGGGACAAATCAAACGCAGACCTCTGTGAAGATGATGCCCTCCAAGGGCAGAGCGAATGGACCGTCTCATCCAGGACATCTCCCTGACCCAGGTGGGTTGGAAGGACTCCTTCCACCCTGGACACCCACCATTAGAGAAGCCCACTTTTGAGAAACTTGTTTCCATGATGTGGTCCTAGAATATTATTAATGGCACTCAGCAGAGGAAAACCTGTTTTATGAATGGACTGCTCTCTAATTCTAATTCCAGTCACCAAACATGCTCAGAGCAGGTACTACAAGTGCTAAGTCCTGGCCTGGGTGATGGGGTTACATGGTCAAACAAGGCAGCTGCATTCTTTGGCCAGCTGGAACTTAAAAGGTTCATGGGAAAACGCCTCAACATTTCAACCGAAGGATCTGACCAACTAGTGACAAGATCTGGAAAAACAGGGAGGCTATTGCTCAGGTGTGGGAAAAGCTCCAGCTGTAGAGGCTGGCCTGCTCTACGAGGGGAAGACCGTGTTCTCCAGAGGGCCAAAAGGGCTGACAAAAGTTCAGATCCTAAGGAGAGAAAACAAGTACCCCAACAACCTTGCCCAAGACCTAGAAAGTCCTCCAGAACACTCTCAGAATGTGAACAGACCCTGGAGTCCCACAGCCCTTTCCTCGGCTGTGAAATGGAACTACTCCTTATCATTTCCCTTTTGTAACCTGTAGACTAGAATTCCTACATTCCTGCCTTCAAGGTTTTAAGCACTAAAGTTACAGGCAACTTTAAAGTACCTGGTACAATGCCCGACATCTTTCAAGACAGCTGTTTTAGCTTAGGATGCAAAGATGAAAGAGCCCATGTTAGGGAGAAGGGAACAAGTGTACTGAGAGAGCTGACCAAGTTAGTGCTGTAACTAAAATTCAGATCACATCTGACCTGAAACACAGTAACGGATGAGAAGTGGAGTTAGGTTAAAATTAAAAACGGCATGCTACTTACTTCTATATGTTCTTTACAGTATTCCAACCCAATGTCACTAAGTATTTTTTTCACAGTTTTCCGGGCTTTTCTTAAACTGCCAAGATTGTTGACAGGAAGTTGGAACATAGTTTCTATTGGAAAAAAAAATTTAAGTCAAAGTCAAAACATGTACAACGTGTAATATTTACTAATTGCACTGCTATAGGACCCCAAACCCTGGTTCTATCCGACTAGAGAGGAGAACACTGTTCTAGTAGATTTTGCAACAAAATAAGTACTCACTATTTCTATTTTCTAATACAACACCTGCTATTAGAGATTGACCTTTGAGTCTAACCTGACACAATTCTGATTGTTTTAAAGAGCAATTTTAACAATAAACTTGAAAAGGTGAGAATTAGGGAAACAATACCAACCAAGTAATTATTTTAAAATCAAGTATGAGTGCTTTTTCCTCATGGTGATGAAACTCTGAAAATACCAAAGTGCTCACCCTCTCACCATGACTACCAACAATTGTGAGGGCCAGGGAAGCTTTGTTGTCTGGGAATGTCCTGCTCACTGCTGTGGGTTCTTAAACAGTATGTTTAGCAGTGTCTGTCCACAGCCAGTAAAACACACCTGGACAAAGGAACCCACATATGTCTGGGTTAAGTGTGGAGGAGGGAAGGAGTCTGAGCTCAGCACCAGAGCATATGGAAACTATACAGGCTTTAGGGGATCCAAAACACTGCTAGTGATCCTAATACATCAAGTCAGAAACTTTGATCAGCTTATTAAATAAGTAAAATTAAAGAATCTGATCAATTTATTAAATACAAATCTTGGTTTGTAGGTAATAAAATTTGAGAATACTTTATAGGGTTCTAACATGACTACAAATGCTTCCAGAGAATTGAGAATTACCATCATTTTACTAATCCGAATCCAAAATAATTTTGCAGAATAAAGTACCTCTGCTGGGTGCCGGTAGTTCACCCCTGTAATCCTAGCTACTTAGGAGACTGAGATCAGAGGATTGTGGTTCAAAGCCAGCCTGGGCAGGAAAGTATGTGGGACTCTTATCTCTAATAAGACACCAGAAAACTGGAAGTGGTGCTGTGGCTCTAATGGTAGAATGCTTGCCTTGAGCTAAACAGCTGAGGGACAGTGCCCAGACCCAGAGTTTAAGCCCCACAACCGATAAAAAACAAAACAAAACAAAAAACCTTCTAAAACCATACTAGCACAAACAAATGCCAAAGCACCAAGAACTAAAATTTAACATAGGTAAATATTTTAATAAATGTACTATTTGAATACTACTTCCACTGCAAGTCAATTAACCCAAATGTAATAAAGCTGCTTCATTACTCCAATCAAAAAAATTGTTAACTATGAAAAGTGGAAAGAGAAAAAAGTGAAATCTCCTCAAACAAGAACTCCCAGAAATTGCAGACCTGGATACATTTCCATAACTTAGATGTCTCAAAATATCCTCTAATGTACCGAAGTTTAACTGGGCTCCAAAGAGGAAAAGCATTCATTACAAATGACATTTCTGCCCTCTCACAGTCCTGGTAGGTAGCTATGAAGCAGGAGCTCGTGTCTCTGCCAGGCCAGTACAGAAGACAAGCAAAGAAGGCGCCCTTCCATATCCTCTAGCCACATAGCTCCCTTTCCCAGAACAGACACTTCCTGAGCCTGCAACAAGGAAACAATTGCTTAAAAAAGAAAATCTCCACTAAAATTTGCTTCTGAGATCAAGGGCTAGTTCTTCATTTTTCAAAACAAAGGAAAATTATGTACTGTGTATGTGTTGGTACTTGGGCTTGAACTTAGGGCCTCAAGCTTTCACTAATTTTTTTGTCAGTGCCTGGGAGCTGTCCCTGAACCCTTTTCTGCAAGGCTAGCACTCTACCACTAGGAGCCACAACTTCTGATTTTCTGGTGGTTAACTAGAGATAAGAGTCTCACAGACTTTCCTGCCTAGGCTGGCTTTGAACTGGGATCTCTGATCTCAGCTTCCTGAGTAGCTAGTTAAGCGCCTGGCTTCATGTGGCTTGTTTGCTCAGAGCTGGTGATCTACTACTTGAGCCACATCTCCACTAAATATTTATAATTGTTACTTTTATGGATGAACATTCCTAATAATAATCCAAAAACTGTCATAGAGCTAGATGTTGACAGGAACACACAGATGTAGTGTCGTCACCTCTCCCTAGGTATGTCCCTGGAAGCCAATCCTCTTTATTCTTCTTGGTTGTCATGCAGGCTGCTTAACAGGTCAGCATCATTACCCCAATACCAAGGAGAGCTCCTCCTAGAAAACCATCACCTGTTCTGCTCATGACAGAAAAAAGGGAAAATATCCAACTGAATAGCACTGTACTCTCCCTATGCACCCATCATTTCCAGGGCACCTATTCTGTAAGAAGTCATGGTTTTCTTCCCCCCTTTTGCTTCTGGAAGATGGGGTCTACAGCACAGCTGGCCCTCAGGCAGTAGAGCTCAGATACTTTGCTTGTCTGTCCAGACTCCTACTGGAACACCCTACCATAACTGATAGGCAGGACATTCCTCCTGCACTAACATCACATACACAAAGGGACTAATCCTAGCATTGTATCTCTGTGGACATGCAGCATGTGCCCACACAAGGCTGACAGGGGTGCTGTCAGTCATGAGGAAAACAAGGGAGATGCCCACAGGTAGAGCCTGTCTTCATCCCCAGCCCATTCAGACACAGGCATCCATCATCCTTCAGGCAAACACATCATCATTTCTGCTTTTGCTTTATTGGAATTAAAAGTCTTGGTAGCTGGGCGCTGGTGCCTCATGCCTCTAATCCTAGCTATTTAGAAGGCTAAGATCTGAAGGCTGCAGTTCAAAGTCAGCCCGGGCAGGAAAAGTTTGTGGGACTCTCTCATCTCCAATAAACTACTCACAAAAAGTCAGAAGTGGTGTTGTAGTTGAAGTGGTAGACTGCTAACTTTAAGCACAAAGAAGCTCAGGGGCAGCATGCAGGCCCTGAGTTTAAGGCACAGGCCTGGCCAAAAAAAAAAAAAAAAAGCTTGGAAGAGTCAATGGGCCATGGCACGTAAGACAGTAAGTAAATACTAAACAGGGAAAACGGAGAATCTTCTGCAAAATGGTAACACTTATGAAATGGGTCTAGTAGGACAAACAAAATTTTCAGAAGATGTTATTCTTAGAAATGCTTTGACTCGGATTTTATTAATTAAAAAAAAACTATATGGAAAGAGCCAAAACACTGTCAAAATTCTAAAAGGATTTGCAAAAGCTCAATGCAAACGCTCTTTTCACAATGAAAAGGACTAGCTTTTTGGGGGTGATACTGGAGATTGAACTCAGGGCCTTATTCTTGCTATGCAACTGCTCTACCACTTGAATCTCATGTCCCCAATCCAGAAGTTAATTTTTGTTGTTATTCCTTTGGTTCCTGAGCTTGAATTCTGAGTGTTGTCCCTATAACTTTTGTGTTCAAGGCTTGTACTTTACCACTTGAGACCCAGCTCTATTCCCAGCTTTTTTGGGTAGTTAATTGTAGAGAAAAGTCTCAGTGACTTTCCTGCCTGGTCTGGTTCTGAACCATGGCCCCAGCCCCAGATGTCAGGTCCTGAACAGCTAGGATTACAGGCGTGAGCCATCAGCGTTCCAATGAATTAATTTTTTGGTAAACATATCATTTAGAATATGTTTTTAACCCTCTTTTGGCTAAATTAACCACCTCCTTTCCCATCAATCTTTTTTTTTTTTTGGGTCCAGTCGTGGGGCCTGAACTCTGGGCCTGGATGCTGTCCCTCAGCTCTTCAGCTCAAGGCTAGCGCCCTACCACTTGAGCCACAGCACCACTTCTGGCTTTTTTCTTTTTGCTTATGTGGTGCTGAGGAATCGAACCCAGGGCCTCAGGCATGCAAGGCAAGTGTTCTACCCCTGAACCAACTTCCCAGCCCTTTCCCATCAATCTTTGCACATGATACTCCAGGTGGAGGCCCCACCTGGATTAGTTGTACTAATTCAGGCCAAATCCCTTCTTGAATTTTTTTTTGGATACAAGAGTCAATGGCTGGGATGCACTCAGTCAGGCCCTAAAGCTATACAGATTTAAGGCACAAAAATACTATATGTGTGACCTTTCTCTCAAGTATCTGGAGCAAACATGTTTCTTACTTCAAGTAACAAGAGGGTAGGTAAAATCAGACAACCTAGAATATCAGGAGATGATCTACATGTAGGTCCAGTCTACACAGGGGAAGGAAGATACATTGGGAACTAAGAGCAGAGTCCACCAGACAAACCAGATTATAACTACGTATGAAGACAAGCACTCTGCTAAAAACTCTGGGTCTAATCAAAGGCTAGGCTCAGGAAGATGGAAGAATCCAATGGATGACAGACAGTGCCAGGGTAGTGGCCCAAGGTCAAGTCTGAAGGACCTGATCAGGATGTGGCCCCAATTAGTCCCATTTTTAAAAGCAGAAAAAGCACTTCATACTATGACATTAGAAAGTAAAACAAGATTAAATAAAGTGACAAAAACAAAAGTAATGAATAAATAACCCAGGCTAGGGCTGGCAGCTCATTGACAAGGCTCATTAGTAGCAGTAATGCATGTGCCCAGCACCCTCAAGACTAGGTGTAATTCCGACCATCTCAAAAAGCAAAGCAAGGCAAACTAAGCCTTTGAAGAATCAATGCAGGAAGGAAAAAGAGCCTTTAAATTGCACATATAGATTGCATTCCCAAGAATCAAACGGCATAGCATATTCTATACTGTGCAATTTTTGTTATTTCATGTTTCCAAACTCTTGTAAGTTTTGGGCACTAACTTAATATGCCAAAACACACTAGTAAAGATGTTAGCGAGTCCCACTTCCTATAAAGCAGCTCTAATAACCCTGGCTTGATTTCTTAATATTCTAGATGGTCATGTAAAGGGAGAATCAAGTCCCCTGCTTCCAAGTATCTCTTTGATTTTTTTTTTTTTTTTGGGTCCGGTCATGGGGCCTGACCTCTGGGCCTGGGCGCTGTCCCTCAGCTCTTCAGCTCAAGGCTAGCGATCTACCACTTGAGCCACAGCACCACTTCTGGCTTTTTTCTTTTTGTTTATGTGGTGCTGAGGAATAGA